AGAGAGAGAGAGAGAGAGAGAGAGAGAGACAATTTCGAGCGCGTGTGTCCAACTCGATTACGTAGAATTCTAGCCAATGTGCCAGAAACTCTCGAATCGATGAAATACGACCCGTGTTCTCCGAGAGAGAAGAATGTTCGTACTCGAGCGGCGTGCCGTCGAAACACCTGTTGTGAAGCTTGGACTCGAGCTCGGAAAATTCAACAACCGAGGAAACTCTCTTCGAGAATAATTCATGGCCGCCGGGATCGTAAATTAAATTACGTCCTTAAAGGGTTCTCCATCGGTTGTTTCTCCCTCCCTTCACGTGGAAATAATGAACCGATCGGTGCAAATAACTACCCTCCGTTCCTTGATTTATGCAGTATGAAGATCGACGACGCTAATAAAGTCATTATTTCGATAAATTCCGATGAACTCGATGGAAGAAACTTCTCCAAGAATGATATTTCGCGTCTCTCGAAAATAATACAAAAAGTTTAGTTTTTTTTTTTTTTTTTTTAATAAGAAGACTGTCTTTGATATAATAGTATATTATCTATTCGGTGAAATCAATTTGACACGTTCAGTTTTCTCAACTAATGAGTGGACTCAGTTTTACGTTTCAGCCTTTTGATTAATATAAGTTAAAATCGTTTTACACTTAACTTTCAAATATTTTCTTTTATCATTTGTCTTTCAATCCTCTCCATTACGTGTAAATAAAATACAACCTTTCAGAAAATATATATTTTTCTTAATTTATTTACTCGTCATTATCGAAAAATGAGTTGTTTAAATTTTTCTATTACATTTCGATCTCTTTATCATTCACACTTTCTTTTATCATTCGTCCCTCAACCTGTCCATTACATGTAAGTAAAGTACAAACCTTCAGAAAATATATACTTTACAAATCTGAATTTACTTAATCATCATTATCGAAAGATCAGTTGTTCAACACTTCTCTATCAGATTTTCATCTCTTCGTCATACTTCAAAATTCCCCGAGAACTCAAGAATTGAAATAAATTCCTCCAGAATTCCTCTCAATGACATCGGAAACTCACTTGACTCTCGAATGACAAAATTCTTCTCCCCCTCCCCCCGAAAAATCTATTTCTCAAGCTTCAAATTGAAAACTGATCGCTAATTGATCGCGTTTCCTCCTTTCCAGAAATCTAGCGCAGACACCCGCCCGTCTGTGAACTCTGTTGCTAGGGTGAACCGTGACGAAGCATGCAGCGCCGATGACAAACAGAGCTTCCTCCTAGTCGAGAAACGATTCGCAGTGAGCGAGTGAGCTTGAGAGATCATCGCAGGCGGATCCTTCTCTTGATGAGAAGAGACTTTGGGCTAATCCTTCAGTTCAGAGATTGCTGGCTGAGAGCAAGCACGGAGAGAAAGAAAGAGAAGCCAAGCGGTTCGATTGATTGCTCGCGATGGGTCGGAAGCACAAACGTCGCCTGATACCGGAACAGGATCGCAGGATATGCGGCAGTATCTGCTTCTGTCAGTTCACCATTGTCATCAGCTGCGTGGCGCTGGTTTATCTGAGCGTGGCAATCTATATGCCGTCCCACAGGTAAACGACAAGGCTGCATCGATTAATTGACCAAGGCCGATAGTAATTAAGTTACGACTCGTCCGGCCTTAATTTCCTAGAGGAGATCTATAACTTGCACTCTATGACCCCGACTTTAACACTCTATGGACGGAACGTTGTTCCGTTGTTCATCGTTTTCGAGAACGAAAAAAATCCATGCCAGCCGTTTTGCGTTTTTAATTAAAAGCTACGGACTCGTAATAACTGCCTGGACCTTCTTGCAAAATATTACTTAACCAATGTTGGTCAGTAACGAGTTGGCGAGCTAAGAAGTAACAAATTGTAGATATACGACTTCAAGTACAAGCTGCTACGTAAAAGTAACAGAAATACATATGTAGCGAATTGAGACTTTAAGATGTAACAAATTACACGATATTAATATTAAGAACGAAGTTTCGTTTCATCTGTTATCAACTCTACTTTCCTCATAAAAACAGAAAATTCTGTAATTAACACTAAACGTACCAAGCGA